GGCTTGGTTCTCATTACCATGTCAAGGGCTCACGGCCACCTGTCACTCCAGCTCTTAGGGATCCATTATCCTCTTATGGCCTGCACAGGAGTCTTCATAGATGGCACACCCACATACACACAAATCTTTTACAAATAGTGAGAAAGTTTTCTCTTTTCATAAAAGGAAATACTAGCATTGCATTATTGCACTTACTTCCTCACCTGTATTTTGATTATGTTTCCATAATGATTATGTATTACTTCTGTAGCTAGAGAAAGCATAACATAAGTTGCAGACAAGTGAGAGAGAGTCTACTGATGAAATATATGAAGCCAGGTGCCCCTGGATGCCTCTCATACCTCTGCCTTCTGACCAGCTCAGTGCTCTTGAAGAGGGACAAGGATTCACTACATTCTGAGCAGGTATCTCAGGGGCTTCCTGGACATGCAGAAATCCCTATGCCAAGCTCTGGTGTGCTCCATTACGTCGCTGGGAGTCTAGTTTCTGTGCCTTTGAGTACACAGAAAATGTTCTTAAAACCCTTCCTTCTGATCCTCTAGTCCTTGATGAACCCATAGATTCCCCTAGGTCAAGCTTTTTAGAAGAAACAAAAGAGGAAATTGAAGAACCACCAAATCTGGAAGGATTCCTACATGCTGAGAAGTCAAAAGAGGAAGTGAGCTTTCCCAGAGTCCCTGACAGGAGGGTGGTAGCCCCAGTTAGGGAGTGAGAGTAGCTAAGTGACATAGCCAACCAGCTTCCCAGGCTGAAGGGGGCTGAGCAGAGCGGGCATCTAGGTGGAAGGCTGTGGACAGAGGTGGTGGACAGGTAGCTGCTGCATTGAAACAATAGACAATGAGAGACAAGTGCTTCTTGGAAAATTTACAGGTGATGCTGCAGGGAGCTGTGGCTGGTGTCCTTGCTGTGACTACAAAAGGCCTCCTGTGTCAGCTGGAGAAAAACTCATTAGGGGGGATCAGTCAGACACAGTGGGGGAAGGGGACAAAAATGGAAGACTAAGTAGTTCCTGAAACTTACAACACTTGGGGTTTCCCCAGGAGAAGCCACGCCCACCTCCCTTTCCTGATGCTCTGTCTCCATGGTGCTTCCTCACTCAGACACCATCTTCCCCAGACTTTTCAGTCGGCTGTATATGGGTACCCATCACCATGAGGGAACATGTCTAGACCACCCAACCATCCAATCAAGAAGCCACCATTGTGCTTTCTGTGGGCACAGCATTCAGTCTTCTCCTGTAAAGCTCGATGGTATTGTTATTTCTTTTACTCTCATTGCTTGAGTGGGAAGTTAGTTCTCTGAGGGTGGAACCTTGTCTGCCTGCTCATTGCTGTAACCTATTGCTTAGAAAAGTGCCTTGTAATACAGCTTGGTTCAACTACAAATTTATAGATAAAACGAATGAATGAATGAATGGGAAGTGTATACAGGGTAAAGCTCAGTTAGATTCAGACACTAGGATTGAGCCCAACTTTACTTCTCACCTGAGAGGCTACCACTGAGTCAGTATTCTGACTGTGAAGAGGGATGTATAGCATTGTGGTTTTGCAAAATGCCTGGAGTCCAACCAACATTTGAAAGGGTACTTTATTATTCTATTATTCAGAATAAAGAGGAAAATTTTACTATGGGATAGAGTGACAGACTTTGATGGACACCAAGCAGGCAAGTTGAAGCAGCACACTCCATTTCTCAGGAAGAGGCAGACGAGTGGGGTGCCCAGGTTTAAGAACCTCTCAACCTGGCAGCTGACCTAAACAAGGGGGAACACATGGACCCCAGACTGATGACTGAGGGGCCAGCATAGGACTGATCCAGACACTCTCCCACCGAACCTTGGTGACAGAGAGGAGGCCTTGGCAATCTGTGGGACCCGGGAGAGTGGAGCAGTATTTATTCCTGGCATACAGAGGGACTCTGGGAACCCATACCACGTGGAGGGATGCTCTCTCAGTCTGGACACATGAGGAAGAACCTGGGCCCTTCCCGGGATGATGTGGCAGACCCTGAAAATCCCTCATGGAGGCCCTTGACCTCCCTTGGGAGCAGGGGAGGGTGGAGTGGGGGTGATGGGTTGGGAGGATTGGGGGTGGGGGAGGGGGAAGGGAGAGGGAACTGAAAGTGACATGCATAAAGAGTTAAATAAAAATATATATGAAAAAAAGAACCTCTCTACCAGATGGGAAGAAAGATTGAAGTTTTGTTTAGACATCATTCCAAATTTCATATATGAAAAACATAATCCTCAAACCACACACTAGTGATATTGGAGACATCAAACCTTGGGGGGCAGTGTTGGGTCTCAAATACCTGATGCATCTGTGGATAAATGAATTCACTAATTGCTGTAGGAATTCTGTTGTAAAAGCCTCCCTTTCATGTTCTGCTTTACAAAGTGAGGACCTCTGCATGTTTTGATGTAGCCAAGAGGCCACCTGTGCCAGTATCTATTCTTTATAAGCTATCCAGCAATGGAAAATGGACTATGACACCATGTTACTTGGTCTCTGTGCTCATAAAGACAGATTTGATGAATTTTCTGCCATCAGTCCCTGCGCAGGTACTGGAGCAAACTGCACGCCCACCATCCATACTCAGGAGCTGCTGTGGCTGAGAGAGGACCTTGATCCGGCTTAATTTCCCCTTCTATATTCCACATAGCACTCCTGCCTGGATTCGAGGTCCTCACATCTTACCAAACAGACTGCTGGAGTAGAAAAAGCAGGTTAGGCATCTTGGCATCTAGTTCCTTTTTTTTCCCATGATGTGGTAACTCTCCAGATCTCACAGTTGGCCAGGTTTGCAGAAAAAGAGAAAGCTCAGCCAACGGGACAGCACATTCTGGAGAGAAGGGGGAGGACAGTTAAGAATAGCCAGTACAAGGAACAAAGTGACAACTGAGCAGAGAGGGCTCATGAAGAGCCCAGGAATAAAGAAGAAACTTACAAGAGGTGCTAAGACGCACAGAGGAAGGAGTGCAGGGTGAAGGCTGGGAGAGGAAGGAGGGCAGGGTGAGGGCTGGGAGGTCTGGCTTCCAGCATGGCTCTTCTGTTCACTCTGTGTGGCTTTAGGTCAGTGACTTCCCTCTTGGAGCTCCGTGTCTCAACACCTGCTCTTTTGACTCCTCTATGCTAGTCATTCATTGGTTCGTTAATTAATTCTATAATATTTCTTGGACACCTACTTTTCGATGCTGTGGAATTTGGGGATTCAACAAGGAACAAAGATGACAGAAACACATTATCTTACCATTTTTGTCCTTATATGAGCAATAAGGAAACTAGTAAGGTATATTCTAAATTAGTTTGGGATAAGGAGGAAAAAAATAAATCAGAAAAGGGGACAGGAAGCCTATTCTGAAGAGGCAGTTATGACAGTTCATTTAATCATTAACTTGATACAATCTAATCACCTGGGAATAGAGTCTTACTAAGGGACCAGCCTATCTCTGGAAAATCATCTCGATTCATTAATTAGGTGGGAAGACCCACCCACCATGGGTGGCACCATTCCCTGCACTTGGGGTACTGGGCAGTATAAAGGGAGAAAACTTGATGAGGACTTAAGCATACATGCCTTCATGCTCCCTCTTGACTGCATATGGCTAGATGTTTCCTGTTCCTTGATTTTTCCTTCAACCAGGAATGGACCTCTATCCGGTTTCATGAGCTAAAATAAACCCTTTCTCCCATAAGTTGCTGTTGTCTGAGTATTTTGCAACTGTATTTGGTAACGAAACTAGGACAGAAATCTCTGAGTCAGCACCTACGGAAGTGAGAGAGTGAGCCAGGAGGACACTCAGCTAAGAGCTCCCCGGTCAGAGAGGCTTCCAAATGAAGAGCTGGCTGTGAGAAGAAACTTGTGTGCCTCCATCCCTAATGCCCACCAGTGGAGCATCCTCCAAATAGGGCTCCCTGCTTCACCTCAGCTCTGTGGTCTCCCTTTCACACATAGCTGGTCAAGATGACTTTCACATGTGAGTCAGACACTTCCGGCTTAAAGCCACCAAGTGCTCCCCATGCTCAGGACAGATGGCCAAGTCCATACGGTCTTTTCTTCAGCAGGCCTCCAAGCTGTGCTTTTGTCCTCAGCCCCACATACCTGTTCCCAGTCACACTGGCTTCACTGCAAGCCCTGGGCTATCCAAGGAAGCCTTAGTCTTGAGTTTGGGTATTTTTCACATGGTGATCCTGTGGGCCTCCCTGGCCCCTTAGATGCTGCCCTTCCAAAGCTAAGGCCTGCCTAGGCCAGCACTCCCACCTTCTATCTCCTCTCTGTGCTTTATTTCCACATCCTGTCAGTTCATGAGCTTGAGAAAAGAGTTCTAACAGGCCAATACTGTATGCTGGGCAGCCCCTAAATAACCCAGAATTAATTCATCTTCCCCCAAGCTCCATGGGGATGTTCATATACATTAACCACATTTTATAGATCAATATTCTGAGACTCAGAGAGGTTGGGGAATTTGCTTAAGGTCTCCCAGTTGGCGAATAGCACAGTGGGAGTCATACCCTCGGGCTTCTATGGCCAGCCACAAGACTCTGGAACATCATAGCAGAATGGTACACATGCCCTGTCACACCCTGTGTATGTGCTGCCTCATAAAGTATATGTGACTGTTGAGCACATGCGGTGTGTGCTGCCACGGAAGCAAGTCTTGAATTATTTTTTCTTTAGACTAGACAATCAGGCTGGTGGCTAGTTCATGGCAGAGACCCAGAGCTCCCATTTGCTCCTCTGTTCTTGTCTGTCACATAGGAATGGGACTGCTCTGTGTCTCAGCCTCATCATCTTGCTGTTTGGGAAGTACTTCATGGGGCTTCATGAGTGCCTTTGGGGAACTAGTTTCACCATCCATGGAAGCATCACATTCTGTATCTTATACAATCAATGCACATCCTCTCATGCGCTTCAAATCATCTCTGTATGACTTGAACGTCTAATGCAATGTAAATAATTATTAACTAAGTGGTTTAGAGAATGCCAAGAAAGAAAAGGTCTACATGTAAGTAACAGATTTAATTATCTTTTGAATGTTTTCAATCCACAATTTGACTCTATTGATACAACCCATGTATAAAGAAAACTGAATACATATGTATGTACATTATTATGCATATTGTATATAAGTTATAATTCTATGCACTATAAAAGATGATATATCATACATATATAATATATACACATATGGCTTAAGGTTAGTCTGACACAAAGTAAATATAAATGCTAATAAATTATCCATTATTATCACCTGTTGGGCCCTTTTAGACCAACAGTGTTGTTAGTTAATTCTTGCCCATTGAATTCTTTGTCACAAAGCAGATGATTAACAAATATTTGTTTAATGAATGAGTAAGTGAGTTGAATTAAGTATGGAGCTTTAACAAGGTTACAGAGGCACAATGGCAACGGCTTTTATGGGAGACCAGCAAGGTATCTGGCTGAGTTAAGAGTGCTGATATCCCTATGAGTTGACTGAAGACTGAGACAAATGGAAGACAGTATGGTTTCAAAAGAATTATCTTGGAATGGAGCAGGAAGGAACACCGTGGTCCAAACAGAGCATCCCTAACTAAAATATGCCAACGGTTGTCACTGTGGAGCCAAGACCCTTTAGGACCCCATCTCTCTATAATGGAAGTCTCTGGATCCATTTCCCAGGGTTCAGCTCTAAGCATGGCACTGTGTTGATGGACATTGCTGGTGTGTAAACAATCAAGCGACGTGGGTATGGGAAGTAGGTGAAAGAACTGACAACAGTACCCAGCAAAGAGCCTAGCATGATGCGTTGAGTCTTAGATCTTATAGTCTCTTGTTGGACAAGGTTAAAAGTTCTGAAGGACACACCTACAGTTAACCTTAAGTGTGCCTGCATCATTCCTATCCTTGCTTAAAGGAGTAGAAAACAGTGGCCCCTTAAGTTGCCTTTTCTTCCTCCTCAAACCCATGTTCAGTGTGCTTATGTAACTGACAAGTTCATCCACGTGACTGCCACACAGTCAGACACAGTTTACCTCCATTCGCCTCACAGACATGAGGATGCGAGCTTTGCTCTAAGGCTTAGCACCCCTGCCATGAGTCATAGTTGTGTCATCTTGAGTCCTTCACTGCCTGAGTAGGTCATGGGGTTCCTGCTGATGATTTCAAATCACTCACTGCAATTAAAAAAAAACAAACAACAAACATCTTTCAGCAGTCCTCAGAGTGGCATGAAGCTCCTGCAACCAAAAGACGTGGTTTGTTCGGCTTACATGGTGTCTGTCTGTCTGTCTGTCTGTCTGTCTGTCTGTCTGTCTGTCTGTCTATCTATCTATCTATCTACCTACCTACCTACCTACCAGTCTGTTTAGTTGATTTCATGAAGGCCTTACACTGGTACAAGCTGAAAGGATGCAGACCCCAAATGATTATATTATATGAACTGTGAGGTTTTTAATCCATGACAAGGGACAGAAGGGACATTCTTTTCACTGCAAGGACATGCTCACTTAAGCTTCAGAGAGGCACAAGCACTCAAAACTCATGAGTGTCCAGCTGATCATCCTCAGCCAGCCCAGTCTCTATCAGAAAGTGGCACATGTTGCACTGCTCACCTTGTAGCTGAATGTCCTGGTTGCTAAACGATGGTATCTGCGAAGGCAAACAATCCTTTGGACAGTAGTTTCCTGGTTTCTCTGCTGAATTATTGAATGCTTAGAATCCCCAGTCCAGCAGGAAGCAGGCCATCACCACTCCTTGTATCAACAAAGGGGTCCAAGTGTGGTGGTTCTAGATAGTGGGCATATTGCTTGTGGAAGGCGGCTATTGGACAAGAGGGCCAGTGTACCCAGAAACTAGGGGCATTGAGGAGGAGGTAGATGGGTCATTGGAGGTGACACAGTTGATAGGGGTAGTTTTTTTAAGTTAGTTGATGAATTAGTTTCCTATTGCTACAATAACTTAGATCAGTGGTTCTCAACCTTCCTAATGCTGAGACCCTTTAATACAGTTTCTCATGTTGTGGTAACCCTAGCCTTAAAATTTTTCATTTCTACTTCTTAACTGCAAATTTTGCTACTCGTATGAATCATAATATAAATATCTGACATACAACCCAAAAGTGGTCACGACCTATAGGTCGAAAACCTGAGATTTACAACAATACAAATGGGATTATCATACAATTCTCTGATCAACAACAATCGAGATGCATCTCCTTGAGATAAAACCAAGGGTTCTCCTCCTTTCTCCAGGTTCTAAGGCAGCATCCTTTTCCTGGCCTCCAGCAGATTGCAGAAATCGCCCATGTTTGGCTTGTGTCCCTTTCCCCATCTCCAAGGACAGCTTCATCATATCGCTCTGTCTTTCAGCATTGGACACAACGTCCTTCGTTCATTCTTCTCCTACTTTCCAGCAAGGACTGTCACGGACAGCAAGCTTACCACTTCATTTCAGTCTTCAGAAGCACCGGAGAAGCCAAGCCTGTGATTTAGGTCTCCCCAACCTTGTAGGGAAACTAAGGCACAGAAAGAAAAAGTTGAGTGGGTCATTCAAGGCCACTCAGCTGTAGTCTGAGGATTCACCCTTCTTACGTTCTGTCTTTGGAAAGAAATGAAAGCCTGAGCTTCAAACTTTAGAGGAAGAAAATCCAAGACTGAGGAACTGATTCTGTTGGAGCTTTGTCCCTCCTGTGGTCCCAGATTCACCCTGGATGCTGACAAAATGGGAGCAAACCTCCCCTCTATGTCAGAGGATGTTTCCATTTGGGGAATTCTGGGCTTGGAATGGTCTGGTTGAGACTTCCTGAACCACAGAATGAAAACACATGCAGAACGGCCTGTGTGAGGGGAAAAGAGGGGGTGTGATAGAATACATCTGACATGGACTGGAGAGATGTCTCTGGAGGCTAAGAGTTCTTGATGTTCTTTCAGAGGACATGGGTTTAGATTCCAGCACCCCTTTGGTAGCTCATAACTGTCTATAACTCCAGTTTCATGGGATCTGACACCTTTTCTGACTTTTGTGGGCACCAGACACACACATGGTGTACATACATGTGTGCAGGCAAAGAGATCTTTCACATAAAAATACAATTTTTAAAATGAGAAACTACACACTGGCATGAAAGACAAAAGGGGATTGCTGGGGTGGAAAGGTACAAATTGGGGAGATTGGTTGGTGGAGAGAAACGGGGGAAGAGGATCAATTAAAACAATGTATTATAAAAAATTCCACAATGACTATAGCAGATTCAGCTGCTATGACCTCACCACCACAGTGGACTGTACCCCCAAACTGGATATTTTTATCCTTACAACAGAAATAATTAGGACAGCATGTATATGCATATGAGATAAGAGAATCAAAGGTACAGGATTTCTTCTAGTTTGCCAGAAGATTTCAGAGTCTAACATCGAATTAAATCTCTGAATACTGATTTCTCCCTGAAAAAAATCCATAATGAAATGGAATACTTTGTGTGCTGATTGGAAAACTAGCATTTCCCTTTTAAAGAAGAGCCAAAGTGAGATAGTAGGTAGCAAGGAACAATGGTGGCGAGTGGTTGGAGAGGTGGAAGCTTGCTTATGAGAACCTGGTGTTTTTATTGGCCTAGCCTAAGTTTTATTTAGAGCTGGGGACCTATGTCATCTCCCTGGCTAAAGACCTACAGAGGCCCGGTTCTGCTAGGGGAGGATGAAGCAGTGAACTGAAGGGGTCTCACTCCCCAGCAGTTGGGCCTCAGCAGTTACTGAACTGAGCTGATGATATGGCTGTCATTCTCACGCACTCCCCTCCCACCTTGTGTTCTGCAGGCAGGATTGTGGTTTCTTATTAGAAGCAAAAGGAGTTACCATTTGCTGGGGACAAGTGAGGACCAGGGAATTTTACAACAGAGGCATATGAAACAAGGCAGGGAAAAGATTGACTCATCAACACAAGGAGGTGGGAACAGGTTAAGGATACCCTTGCATTTTTATTCTCTAGGCAGGGCCCCAAGGTGCACTTGTTACTCAACATCCTATAAACAGAGCTCTTTCTGCTCTCAGCAGCATTCCTGTTCCCTGGTAACCAGTCTGATCACCCTCCAATGGTACTCCACAGGAGCTTTGCAGAATACATCCTCGCTGCAGGATTATTTGTGTTTATTTTGTATCTGTCTCTAAAGAGAGGCAGACAGAATTAAATCAGCCACTGCGAGGATCGTGGCATGCTAGCACAGAAAGGAAGCACTGGCATTGTCTGGGGAAGGTAAATAAACGGGAAATGTTTCTTATGTTGCATCAGGTATAGCTCAGGCATGTAATACTAACAGCTTCATTTATCAACAAATGCACCATGAAGGATGTTAAGCCTTAGCCGCATGCTACGGAAGACAAGAAGAGCTGGGGCTGTAGCATGTGCAAGGTTCCAGGTTCAATTCTAGCTCTATGAAATAAAAATATAAAGATCGGGTGATTTTAAAAGGAATTTAAAGTCAGACACTCCACTGGTGGGGCTTAGCCACCTGCCAGCCTGTGGTCCACTATGTAGTTACTCTAGGCTGCCTGCTTTATTCCCTGTCATATTGTAGGAGAAAACTGAACAGTAATGTGCAACTGTTCTTGCAAAATTAGGGCCCCAAGGATATAGGCATCATATAGCAAGGAAACCTACCTGAAGGATCCAGGGCCCTCACATACCTGAGGCACAGTTTTCAGAAGCAAGCTTGGAATGTCAAGAGCCAGGCGGTGACTCAGACCTCATTGGGGCACCCAATGGGAAGGGTGGAATTTGATGGTCTTTTTCTTTCCTCAGCTTCCCCTTCTCCTCCAGCACCTCAACTCCAAATCACTCTGGTGCAGAGGTGCTGTGTGTCTCTGCTTGCAGAGCTGTGTCGTTTACAGAGCTGTGTCGTTTACAGAGCAGCCTGTACGCCAAACACAGCATCAGACTCGCTTGGCTTGTTCCTCCTTCCTCACTAGAGAGCATGTGCAAACATAGAGTCATTATTTTAGAAGAACACAAAGGAAAAGGGCTTTGAAGCCTGGCCATCACCAGGTGATGCTGGTGTCTCGGCTGTAAGGTTTCTACCCCTGGAAACTGAGTCTCTCTTGGCATCAGACCCCACATTCTCCCTCTGGCCCTCTGTGGGGCTTTCAATAAGCAAATACTCTTCCTCCACCCCTCTTTTCCATTTATAAAGTGGGTACACATGCCGGAATCCCCTCTGGTGCGGTGGCTGTGAGAGTTACATGGTGTAATGAGTAAAGGCCCACCTACCATTTCTTCGCTCCATACCATGGAGGTCCCTGGGAAGAGGTAGTAGACTTTCTCAATACTTCGACTTCACCTAAAACACACACCAATCCCCTAATCTTGTCATTCTTTTTAACCTCAAACCTTCCCTTTACCATGAGAGGCAGCTAGACGAAAGTGATTTTGTTGCCAGGGGCTTAAATCCCTTTTGCTTTTTATTCTCATGCTCCATCTCCTCCTCCTCCAACCCTGCCACGGTCCAGCTTGTCCACGGACAAAAGCAAAGGTTTCTCATCTATTAGGCAGAGAAGCTGGCCCCTCTCTCTTGCCCCTGCCCACAGCCACTCACCCTTCCTGGCACGTGGGGCGTTCTCTCTCTGTAACACACTTATCTGAGTTCCGGCGAGCAAAATGAAACATAGGATAGAGAAGACGGTTGAGGTTTGACAGGAAGTCCAAATAAGGACTTCCTCCCATTCACCTTTAACTTCTGAGGTACCTCAGCTGAACAGCAGAGCAAGAGAATCAAAGCAAGGAGACCTAAAAAAAAAGATAGAAAGCAATTGTCAGCCAGAAGGAAGTGGAAAATGTTACTGGTCCTTGCCTTGCCTTGCCTAGGGCAGCTCACTCACATTTTCCTCCCGTGTTATCCATGGATAAGGGAGGTGAGACTAGCATCCAGGATGAGTGGGAGGGAGCTCTCAGAGACTGCGGAGACAGGGTGAATGTTATCTGGAGAAGGGCTGGCACGGGGCCATGCAAGTCCATTTTTATCATCTTCTATTCTGCAGCTCTAAGGAGTGCTAGGAAGTACTGGGCCTCCCGAGGTGACTGTCCCCTGTTCCCTGCACTGTTTGGAAGATAATCTTTGTTCTGCGCCATAGTATGAGGTGTCAGGTTCTGTGAAGGACCCCCATGGCTCTCCTCCATCACCTTTTGTCATCCAGAATGAACAGGTGCTATTTTTACTGTCTGCCCCTAAGGATGGTGGGGGAAATTCCCTTAGCCTCTTCCCTTAGAAGGGCAACATATTCTCATGTATGAAGCCTCTACTCTTCTCTCTTCCCTGGTCCTCATAGGGCAGTTCTCCAGGATCCTTCCTCCACAGCACACGCAGGAGCAGCAGCTCCCCACTCTTTTATTTCTCACCTCCAAAACTAGTCATCAAGATTGGCGGTTATCACCTCTGCCCTGTGATTCTGCTGTGAAGTGGAGGGAACGGGGTGGGTGGGTGGATGCTATAAATCTGGGTTTGCCCTATGTTCCAACAGTCACACATACTGCAAGCATTGCTTTCTTTCCCACAGCTTCTCAATTCCTATTCTATGAGCCCCTGCCACTGCCCCGGCTCAGTGCTTTCCATGTGTTGCTTTTACCTTCAGACATATGGTTGGTCTTCTGGGTCTGCAGATTCTATATCCATGTGTTCAACCAGCAACAGATGGGAAATATTTTAAAAAATTGGATCCAAACTGAATGTGGGTAGAGGTTATTCTCCTTGTCATTATTCCCCAAACAACAGAGTATCACAGCTACACACAGCATTGGTATCCTTAGGTAATATCAGTCTTCTAGAAATGGCTCAAAGTATGTGAGAGGGTGTATACATATTAGCTATAACAACCACACCATTTTACATAAGGAACTTGTGCTCTGACAGATTTCAGTACCTATGAAAGATTCCAGAAGCAATCTCTTGCTTTGGCTAATCTTTCAACTTGTTTCTTCGTAAACAACTGGGTTTCTCTACCTGGTTTTGGTCGAAAGAGATGGGGGTGGGACCAGTTGCCCCATCAGCGAGTCTTCTTTGCTTCCAATGCTGGACCTTAGCTAATTCCCCGCCTGTTATCTGCTTCATGCTCAAAGTCAACAGAAGGACACCTTGATATGCACCAAACTCTTGCCTTCCTGATACCACTTCTGCCTTGGCATAAATACAAAGGCCTGCCTACTTCAATGGAACAAGAGAGATGATACACTGTCACACACACTGTCCTGCTTCTTGAGAGCTGTTCTTCAGAGCTGCACTGCCTTGGGAGTTTCTGGAACACTTCAACCAGACACAGGAGATGTGAAACCTACAACTATTGAGAAATCACCCAGGGATAGGAAGAGGACAGTCTTTAGGCCTGAGGCAACACACTTCCCCTTTCATCATCTGCTCTCTCTCTGCCCCGATGCCTTATCTGAGGTATGGGTCTGTGGTCCAATGGGCAGGGGGCACACTATTAAAGACATTTCAGATCAGCAGCTCACTAGCCCTTCGTGAACTGCCCTTCGTGAACTGCCGGCCATAAACTGTCCCCATGAACACGGGGGCTTACTCTGCAGGCTCTGCAGATAGGACTTAGTTTGAATCCTGACTCTATTCTGGGCATTAGCAAAGCATACAAGAACCTTGATTGGTCTTCTGAGTCTGCAGATTCTATATACATGTGTTCAACCAGCAACAGATGTACACCATGACAAGACCAGGGCGCATAAGCTACTTGGAGGACGTAGGGAGCAAGCAAATGGCTTCTCCACTCTAACTTATTTCTCTCTGCGGTGAAGTAGATGTAATAACTGCCAGTCACCAGGGATAGTTAGTATAAAGTTCTCTGCATATCCTTTGACACACTGGATGGGGGGCTTCCTGGGGCCTTGCACCTCTAATACCTTCACTATCATTACCTTCGTTTCTGGCTTCTGTGGCTATGTTGTCACTGGTCCCCATGGATTGTTCATCTTTGCCACTTTTATTGGATATTTTTTCCCAAAGGGGTGAATATTTAACAATATTTTATTCTATCTTCCATTTATCTTGTTTTTTTAAAACCCTGAGTTGGGTGAACAATATTAAAAAACACAATGCTGACCAAAAACAAAACAAAACAGAAAACCTGCTTTTGCTTTTACTTTTAAGGATGATCTGGAATGTTCCTTTCCACAGAAATTCTCTATCTTGAGAGATCTTGACTGATTGATTGGGTGAGGTTCAGAATCTTCACCTATATATTCCACCCCCAAGGCTCTGCCTAAAACCCATTTCACCCCATGATGTCTTCTTTACTTAAAAGTGACTTTCATCCATCATGGCTGATGTGCTGCTGATTTGAAGAATGAAACAATGTCTCTCTCTAGTCAGGGAGCTTTGGAGCAGCAGGGCAGTGGTTCATTGAGCATCAACAGTTGTTGAGCACTTAATGTAAGCTACCAAGGTTGATGCCTCCTGCAGATCACCATCATGGACCACTTTCCAGTACTGAGTCCAAACTTTCATCTGTATCTCATTTAGGCTCACAAACAGGTAATGAGACAGATACTAGAGGCAGCAGGGCCTCCTGTAGTATGTATAAAATGGAAAGCATATATGACTAAAGCTACCCTTGAGAAACCTTCAAACATTCAAACATTGGAATAGAGAGCTGTGCACATGTGTGAGCCAGTGCATTCCCATATGTGCAGGCTTGTATGTGCATGTACATATGGAACACTGGCTAACCTGTGCTTACAGGTTGCCATATTGCACCAATACATTTGATTTTAGCCTCAGGTCTCACTCACTGTTAAGGATTGTTTCAGTCTATGACATCTTTTCAGAGTCTAAAACTAAAGGAGGATGCAACAGATTCCCATCTCCTGTGCCCAGGGAATGTACCCTTTGGCTAGATATATGGTAGACTCAATACCAAATGAAAGAAACGATAGTAGACAGAATATAAAGTGAGAAAGCACAGTGTATGGAAGGTATTGTACCACCAATAACAATGCTTTAAACTTTTTATTTTTACATTTGCCTAGCAAAGACATTAAAGCTGTATGTGTATAAGTCCTCTGTTTTCCTTCCTTGTAGATATGGAAACTTGTTACCTAGACTGTCACTTAAGGGACTCCAGCTGGTCTGAACATAATAAACATGGCTCTAGCAGGTCTTGCCCTTTCTCCCAATGCTTCTGCCTTGCTCAAAACTGTTAGATTACATTCCTAAAGCTGGGGTCACTTCCTCCTCCTGAGGCTGACTACCATTGTCCAGCTCTCAAAGTATTGAAGTCCAGAAATCAAAAGGCCCCTTTGGCTCACCTAATTAAAGTGCCCAATAAAATTAAACACCTAATCCTAACACAGGATTTCCCCTCTTACCTTCATAAACCATCATGTTCCTATAGGTCAGGTCTGTCTCCTTTTGGACAAATACCCCTCCCTTCTCTTCCTGTATTTTTCTTACCTTTGTCTCTTATTCCCTGCCATTTGCCCCTCTGGGGTAAATAAATATCCTTTGTCCTGAGAACTTGGTCTTGGGGTGTCCTGAACTGATACTAGTCTCTTTAGTCACTCCATGCCCAAGATTACAGTACAGACACATTCATATCAGAAACGTAGATAGTCTTCTGTTTCCTTGCACCCTTCACCACTCAGAGCCTGGCTGCCTCACTCACCAAGACCCACCCACTCATCTTAACACAGAGAAGCAGCTGAAGGTGCCTCAGCTTTCAATAGAAACAAACTGGTGGGGAAGTAGTTTGGAGAACATGATGAGACCATCTTCCTTCCCCACAGTTCACTAGAGGATGATATTGTAGATAATTTTAGGGAACTGTCAAAAGAGACTCTTATCTGTGTTGACCCAGTCATGCAGGAGTGTAGTGTCCCGCTTTGAGTGTCTAGAATTTAGTGGAAAAAAACTACTGGAACTGAGTTTAAGTCCCCACTTGGCTAGAGTGTCTGGACCAGTGGGAAATTACCAGTCTCTCTCTCTCTCTCTCTCTCTCTCTCTCTCTCTCTCTCTCTCTCTCTCTCTCTCTCTCTCTCTCTCTCTCTCTCTCTCTGTACTCTCTGTACTGAGTCCACAGAGCTGGCCTTCCTTGTTTACTTATTTAGAAGTCAGCAGAGGAAGTGGTAAAGGAAACTAGCTGAGCCGTTTTCTGAGAAGAGACCATATTTGTTCACAGGGGAAGCCGCTGCTTCTTAGGATCTGGTTACAGCAGAAACGGTGCCCGTTCAACAAGGGTGTTCCTGAGTGTAGTTGGGATTTGGAAGAGCTGAGGACACCACAGCACTCTGGGTCTCTGTTCATGGCTGCAGCAGCTCTCTCCAGCCTGTGAGCTCCCCGAACAGCAGCAATGGCCTTGAAGAATGTGCCTTTTCGCTCAGAGGTCCTAGCCTGGAACCCGGACAGCCTCGCTGATTATTTCAGGAAGGTGAGTCCTTCACTCTTGTGCTTCTGGTTGTGCTGGTATGCCTTCAGTGGGGGGGGGCAGAGTGGAGGCAGAATCTGGATGGAATATGGAAGATATAAAATATAGCTGGAGTTAATACCTGCAGTTGCTACCTTCCTGGGAGGCAGACTACTGAACTTTATGGGCCATGTGTACTGTAGAGAAAGATTGGGGAGGGGACCCTCCCGTGCATAAGCCCCTAGTACATACAAGCATGTATCCAGTGCTCCACAGTCTGTGTCCTCTTAGACACAACCCACTGTAATATGCGTTCAGTGTTACCATACTAATGTTATGCACCGACAGTGTTGCATCTCAAGGTCACTATTTCATTCAACTAAAGTCAACTCTTGAGTTTAAGTGGTCCAAAGCTCTCAAATATTAATGGATAAGGTTGGATTGGAATCATGCTTATTTAGCTTTATATCACATGCTCTGAAATGCAGAGAATGATTATGGTGAAGTCTTCTTATGATAAAAGGAGATATGAACTTCTGGGGTACGAGGGATGGATAAGCAGGACAGAAGGGGTGAACAGATGGCTAGATGAACAATGATATTTTATCATCCATTGTCCATGATCTTGGAAGAGGGCTAGAGTCTCTTTATTGGCTGGAGTCTCACCAGAGCTTTATGAGAATCCTTGAATGCAGCCCAGAAAAGCAAACATGAGCTGCAGAATAGTTAGGGACACAATGGGAAATCTCAGCAGAGTTACAAGTCAAGCTGTACCACAGTGTTCTGCTTCTAGGCTAGGAGGAGATAGTCAAAGGTCCTTGATCAGTTATCTGCTAATGAGGACCACAAGTCTGTTTAAACGTATCCTAAGGTACCTGACTCCTCTAAAGCACCCATACAGAAGAGCTAAAATGTCTTATGAAAGACAGGAGCTTCTATTGTCCCCATTTCTGTAGGCTGGCCTCACATTCCACTGATACTCCAGGCAGCGAGGAAGATGAGGTCCTAAAACTAAGACCTAGAAGTCATCTACTTTGCCTTATATTTTTTTCTGAAGAAACAGAGATCCAAGAGGTAGAATAGGCTCCTTGGGTTGTATAACTAAACCTGTAATAAACATGATGGTTCCTTCCCAAACTACAGAAGAAAATGTGAGCATTCTGTACTGGGCAAGGCATGGTAGGAGCACTGCCCTACAGATCCTGGTATTTGCCACTTTTTTTTGTAAATCTTATTTTGGTTACTTTCTCCCCATAAGGTCATTATAAACTTCTCTTTCAACACCATGGGTGGAAATATGATTAGACAATTAGAGTTTTGAAGCATGTTTTTAAAGTTACTTTTCTTAACTAAAAATGAAGTAAGTTAGGGCAGAAGGGCGAATTTGCCATGGTGGGGTGAAGTAGTGAATTGTTTCAATAGAGCAGTGAGAATGGGATTGAGAATTAAGGCAGGGAAGTCCGGGCAGGGACCAAGAGGCCCCATGTTCAAGTGTAACAAGGTATTATGCAATCCCATGGTGCCACAGATAACATATGGGTCAAGTTCCCTTCAGCACAGTGTGCGCCTTAGGTAGGTCTGGCAGACACCATGGCGCTTGAGCTAAGAGAAGGGGAGGTTTCTTCTTGGAGATCATGGACCTTAGTAAGAGTCACATTCCAGGGACAGGCCTCACCTTCTGGAGGGAAAGACCCCTCCCCACCCCAACCCCAGCCCCTGCCACAGACACAGATGAGACCCTGAGCTCATTGGTCCCCGAGAAGACACTCTGTGAAATGAACACAGAGCCACTTAAGGATGCTCTTGGATGTCAATGTATCATTTACAGAACTGATCAGCAAGTGTAATGTCTACATAAGGAGTTGGGTTGGGCCACTGAAACTTCTACCCAGCTCTGGAGTCAGATACACCTTGGTTTGAGTTGTACCCTTCCCAGCTAGCTTGGAGAATTCTTTTTCTTTAATTTGCTTCTCTGTACCTCAACTTACCTAAAATAGAGTTATTAGCAGTAACTAATCGGATGAGGTGGAGGTGAGTTTGAAAGGAAATGTGTTCGAGGTATTGAATTCCAAGTTATACCCCACCTTTATCCTGATTTTCTAACCAGAACCTGACTGGGGAGGTAGGGACAGGCTGGTGAGGCTTTGTGTCCTATTGCCTCAGATATGTGTGTGCCTTGCCCTGTACTGGGGATGAAAACCAAGAGGATTAAGGCCATAGTCTGCATGTCCTTAACTCCTCCAATTGGCTTAGGCCTAGGAGGAGAGCATTCCTGGGCCATGTGGTATAGTCACTGGCTCATAGGCACGTGTTCTAATTCTGTTGGGTTTCTGCCTCACTGTGTGACCTTAAGCCAGACCCTTCTCTCTGGGCCCCAGTTCCTGCCATCTACAAAGCTGAATAACCACTTGGTCAGTGCTAAGACTTGTATCTTAGATGCTTGTAAGAATTACTTAGGGTGCTTGTTGAAACACAGATTTTATGTCCCAAGACTCAGATATTACTGAATTGCATCAGCTATCTAGGTTCAAGGCTATAACTCTAGCTTTGTTTTAGAATCAAAACTGGCACTCTGAAGACATGGCAATCCATCTGATAGTGATGGCAGTGAAATGAATTAAAGGAAGCTGACAATTCCAAAAGCCAACTACACACCATGCATATGGTTCAAGGAGACAGCTCCAGATGCTGCCTGCCCTCAACACTGACCTATAAATCAGCTTCCCAAGTGTGGTCTTCAGTCTGCCCTTCTAGATAAGGAGGTGGCAGCAATTATATTGTAAAATTATTATTATTATTGTGACTGATTCGTGAAGGATAGCCCAGGTTGCTCTTGGACTGACAGCAATCCTGTCCTCCTGCCTAATTCTCCTGGATGCTAAGATGAGCGGTGTGTGCCACCACACCCATCTTTGTTTACTTTTTTTATGCTATTTTTTGGGGGTGTCATAGATAAGAACCTGATTTTAAAATTTCCTCCTTAGAAGGTTGGACTAACTGCTTGTGAGGTCCTCAGAGAAAAATATTTCACCTTAAGTACATCAGACCTCAATCTTGGAACTATTTCTGACATGAAGTTTTGGGCTATTGAGGACAAAGCGGGTGGGTGCAGCCCACCCATAGATTAGCTTTGGAAAAGTAACCAACCGTAGCCTTACAAACACTTACCTCTGTTGATGCTAGCACTCTGTCCCGAGAACTTGACTTCAACAATTTACTTTATGTAGAAAAAGTTAGGCAAAAGAGTGTCCACTGGGCAGTATGTGCTATCCAGATGGTGCATTTGGATGTACCCCTGATTATTACCTTTATGAACCTATGTAAGTGATGTTACTTAAAAACTAGTCTTCATGGAAACTTTAAAGCCAAGTTCTGAAGCTCAGTTGTCACCTATGTCACCTTCCACCCATGGAAGTTTCTTAGCTCTCTGTGTCTCTTCATCCTTTACCCATGAAACTGGAGGACTAAGTAATTTACAGCTGCTTTGGGGTGGGATCAGGGCCTACTACAAGCAGAGTATCCCATCCGGTGCTAACTAGCAGCTGCTGATCTCATTGCTGAAATGGTGGCCAGAGAGATGGCCTGAACATTCAATGGTTAAAAATTATAGGAGTTATTTAGTAAATTTAAAACAAGTTTGTCATAGTACCAGAGAGTGTTTGTGGTGTCGTTTTAGGTCATTTAAGAGGGGAAAAAAGTCACACTAACAAGACTGAATGTGAGTTAATTCCTCCATCATGTTTAGAAATGGGCTAGGCATAAATGACTGATATGGTCACTGAGATCACCTTTGGGCGACAGGGTCTAGAGTTTGGATTCTTCTTTCAGTCCCTTTATGCTTTCCTGACTACAATGTGATCACCCTTCTGGGGCTTTGAAAACAGTGTCTTTCAAGAGGTTCTGGTACCAAGGACTAGAGTACACAATTTCTCCATTTCAGACTGTTCCAGGGGGTATTGAGGTGGGGACCTGGTCCTTCTGTTATACAAAGGATCAGGAAGGGGCTGGCTAGCCACAGGTACCACATATTGCTAAGCTCGGGTGGAGGCAAAAAAGGGGGAGACCAGGCGCCTGTGGCACTGATGGCACCTTGCTCTTCTCTGTGCAGCTGAACTACAGGGACTGTGAGAAGGCGGTGAAGAAATACCACATTGATGGCGCTCGGTTTTTGGTAAGCTCTGTCCAGTTTCACACACTGAAACTGAAAACATGCTGTGTTCTGCCCATCAGCTTTAGGGCCAACTGATCTACCTGTTCCCCGAGGCTGCCTATGGTCAATGTTTGCGGTCAATGTCCCATTAAGCCCTTAGTTTTGATCAAAGGGTTGATAGGTTTCTCTCACCAACTATTAATGTCTTGTTCAGGAGCCCTGTAAGCTCTTATATAGACAGCAAGATATACTCCAAAGTAATACCTTGAAATTCTGTTCAGCTGCCATGTATACTCTGAGAAGTACAGAGAGGGTAGCAGGAGATACTACTGAAGAACTGGGAGTTTTCACTCCTGGTTGCTAACTCTGCATATACATCCACTGAGTGAACTAAAAGGGTGGCCAACCCTCTTCCTCTTCATTTCCTCCTTATTACAGAATATGTATACTGACTGTAAACAAATATGTGAGGGTGCTTCCCCCACTCTGATATAATTCCACAGGCTTTAAATACATGCTCATGGTTCAGGTCCATGTTGAATCCAAGCCACTGAAGCGAAAATGACTCAGTTACAATGAAGGCAGAGGCACTTGGCTGTCAGGGAGGTTGCCTCATCATTTCCCAGAGATAATATTTTGCCTGTGCATTAAGAGCAAACTGTCACTGTTTCAAGCTGTCCCTTCTGGGCACTTTGCTTCACTCTTTAAAAAGGGAAGAAAATGAATTTAAAGGTCTCATGGGAGATATCCTCAGATTCAGAGTGAGAAGGGCAATCAAATTGTGTGTCTTTATGTCATAGCAAAGAAACTTGATCATGAGACCTCAAGCTAGTTGAAAGGGGACAAGATGTCATATGCTGCAGCTTGCTACACAACACACTAACCCATTTCTGACACTGCTTCCCCACCCTGCTCTGCTTCAAAGTCTTTAGTCATGGCGATCTCACTACCACCTGCAATTTGATTCTCCTTTCTGGGAACCACTGAAGTCTCACCCTGAGATGAGTTCCTTTCCTATCCTAGGCAATGTCGTATGCTGGGGATAGAGAAATCATTAATATATAAAGATTCCTGCCTTCATGAAGCTGTTTTTAGCAGAAAGATACCTGCACAGATATCTTCAACCACCTCATTTACAAATGAGGAAACACATGTAGAGATGTGGAGATTTTTGTCTTAAATTACAAATTAACGACTAAACTAAAGCATGCTTAGTCCTATATGGCAAAGGCTTTGCTGTTGTTTTGTTCATATGGAGTTTTGAATGAATAGAATTCCCTGAGTCTTATTGCTGCTATTCATGCAACCACAGTAAGTCTGTATGCTTCATTCTGATGCTTTAGCACTTATAAAAGGGACACTACTTTGCGTACAGAGGGAGGGCAACCTCTTTGAAGAGAGTGATGGTTGCCTTGTTGTCCTGGCTAACCTTGAGTAAGCATTTGTCCCTTGACCCTAATTCCCCTTTGCTTCATCCTGCACTGACTGTACACACTATGCAGGGTCACAGTTGGGGATAATAGTGGCATTTCTCAGTTACATGACTCTCCCCAACACTCTATGTGAGTGTCAGGCTTGAAGTGACTTGATAAGATGGTTGTTTCCTTGGTTGAGAGATGGTATCTAAACAGCATCTCCTCTGTTCCAATCTCTGGGACCTATCAGCCCTTCAGAGGAAGCAGCACATCCTACTCACCCTGTGAACAGGAGGGAGTGCAAAGGGGGTAGAAGGAGCCAGACTAGGGGGGAGAACCCAGTGCCTGCCCTAGTGAAATGCACTGTGCTCTGGGCTCACTTTGAAAGTCTTAATGGAAGCTCTAGTTACTCAACTCATACCCCGCCAGCTCTGAAATATCCAGGACTATTCTGCTATTGAAGGCAACAGTGCTTGCCATCCCTCCCCTCTCCTCTTCCTCACTCCTTTCATTTCTCTTCCTTCTTCAATGTGGGAGCTGGTATCCACCCCCCATCTGTTTTAATGCCACTGAGGTTCAATACAGAGAAGAGTGGATTGTTTTCTGGTGAGAAAAGGGGATGCTGTGCTTTGTAAAGGAGGGAAGTACTTGACGGGTTAACTGGGAATGTATGTGGTCTTTCTCAAGCACTAACATATGTACAAGTGGACACTCAGGGCTGAGCAACTTCTGGAGGAAGCCCTGACCGTAGGCCCCATTCAGCCTATGTTAAAGCTAAGGGTTTTGTGCTTATCACTCCAAGCTGGCCACTCCAACTCTAGGTAATATAAACATATATTAGGCAGAGGAAGAGGGGAAAGGCAGAGAGTAAGGTGCATGGTGTTTGGTGACTTTGCCCTTTGTTAAAACAAAAAAGTGAAAAATTACCATTATTCTGGAGACCTCATCCAGTAAACTGCAGATTACACCTTACTGGCCACAAGTGTGTCCTGTGACTCCACCATCTCTATGGTAACCTGGGGAGTGAAATATTTTGCACAAACACATTTCCCACCCTCAACCAAATTCAGGTTCTGATAGTAAAGAAGATGGAAGAATAGACATTGAGAGACAAGCAGGCCTGTCTGCCACCTTGCTTCTCCATCAGGGACCTGGCTTGTAGCTGTCCTATCCATGGATCTCTTTTCTGAACTCAGCATATAAAATCCGTAAATCTAACTCCAATAAAGTTTAGCCCAGGATTGCTGGAGGGTTTTGAAAGAAGTGGGGGAGGAAATTATATGACACAGCAAAACTCCCAAAGCCTGTTTCAACATTTTTCATCTTCTTTCTCAGCTGTTGTCCGTGTTTTGGACACGTGTTTCTTTCCCAACACTCTGCTCTTCTGTCTCCAGTCATGGTCATATGTGCCTTCTCCTCCATCTCTTCTTCAACTTTCTCATCCTGTGCCCTCCTCTTAGTCACTTCCAGAGTATTGCTCTGGAAGACCCCAAGATGTCTTCAACCCATCATGCCACACTCTGAAAAAAGCCTTGGTCTTCCACCTTCCAGGTATATGGCTGTTCCTTCATCCTTCCACTGTAACTCAGGCAGCCTGACAAGATCCCGGACAGAAAATTCACCACAGGTTAATAAAGGCTGGACCTGCTGCTTCACCAAGCACCTTGCCAAGACACCTCAGTCCTAGCTCCCCTGATGACTTTAGACCCTAACTTCTCCCTTCCCATGCAAAACTGAGTAGGGACCTGAACCATGGGGTGAAAATATAGAGAGGAGGTTGCCAAATTTTGCTCATGATACAAATTCTGTTTGGTTTCACAGATTTTCCTCATGTTTGATTATTTAAGTCATTTTTGTTTATAATTCAGGGAATTTTACATAACATTCCAGTTTCAGGACTCCCTTTGAAAACGTAAACCTCAGGATGTTGTGGTGACAATGGTTCTCTGTGGTTCCTTTCCTAGTCACCTGACCAGGGGCCCTCCTGTGTGTGTTTAACCTGTCTGCCAAGTGTCTCTTTTTTACAGAACCTGACAGAAAATGACATCCAGAAGTTTCCTAAGCTGAGGATGCCGTGAGTATGCCCCCTGATGGGCAGCAGGATGGGTAGGAGGTTGAAATAAAGACCTGTTCAGGGGAAACTGGGTCAGGTGTATAGTAATTTCAAATGCTAAAAACGAGTAGGGAGGTTGAGGACCATGGCAGGGTCTGGGTAAGAGGAATCACATGATGAGTTAGAAGGAAGTTGGATACTTTGCCCAACACAATCACCCAACACTGGATTGCCTGTAATAGCAGTGTGTGGCCTTAACTGCTGAGTCATGTCTAGCTCCTCATGGCATCTTCATTTACTCACTGTTTTAAAATTTCCAAACATCTGTTTCTTGGTTAGTAAAATGAATGTGGACCCAAGTAAACAATGGTAAAGGAGATCATTTTGTCTGCCAATACTGATTTCTTGGGATGACTGCTATTGGTATTAAGAATAATGTTATGAAAAGGAGTTATGATCGATTAGTAATGTCTACTCTGGGAGCTGAATTGGGAAGCAGCAGTATGCATATTGTGACATGTATTTTTCATAATCATAGTAGAGGCTTCAAATGCTCAAATACAGAGGCCAGGCAGTTGATATAAATGTACAAAGTAGTACAGGTTGTAAACACAAATCTTCACTGATTTATCTCTTAAACACAAGTGTCTCTAGAGAGCTATTTTGACACAAAACTAAGAATAGGAAATTATGATTTTAAAGATAACCAGTACAAAGGTTGAATGATGGTGAAACAGTAGGGGATAATGTTGGTTGTTATAGCAAATCACATAACACATTATCCTGAGAGCCCTGTAGCCACTTGGCTCTAGCCAAGGTGGGCCCAACAATGGCCAGTCTTCAAATTGATCAAAGAATAGTTAGAAACATGAGTTCAAATGTTCCATCTCAGTTTTTCAATCCTGACTCAAAAGTTCTTAAACATTGTGAAAAACAACATAAAGCTACCCATGAATTGGATTTGCTCTTGATGCTACTGGTGTGAAACATCTACTTTCTGCATTCCCTGGAGTCCCTTCTCTGCTCTAAGGGCCTCAGAGTGCATAATGATAGAAAGAAAGTAGCCCAAGAAGGCAGGAAGCTGGGAGGTTTCTTCTGTGGGTAGGAAATAAGGAAAATATACTTAGCCTGGCTATTTCTTCTTTGTCCAGAAAAGTGAAGGAAATGAAAGCATTAAGGGTTCACACCCTTGTGGCTGTCCATCTTTTTTAGAGCTCCCTGGAAATTTTTATGAGCACATATGGCTGATTCAATTTAGGTTAAATCTAAGATCCAGTTCTACTAGCCCACTGGGTATATTTCAGTTGCTACAGGTGCATGGTGACTATTACAGTAGTCTCTCTTCATTTGTGGTTTTTTTTCTCCCCATGGTTTCCATTACCCATGATCAGCTGCATCTTAAAACATAGTACAATCAAATACAGAGAAAGAAGAGAAGAGAGAGAATGAGAGAGAGAGCATCCAGCTTTTATGTTACAGTGTTGTAACAGCTGCTCTATTTTATTAACAGTTATTGTTGCTAATCTCCTACTGTACCTAGTTTATAAGTTGGTCTTTTGCATATGTCTTCATAGGCAGACACATCATACATATTATATCAGGATCAGTACCACCTATAGCTTCAGGCATGTCTGCTTTGTCCTGTTGACAAAGGGTAGTAACTTTATATAAGAGTACAGGCCCAGGACAGTCGTATGAGTGCATGGATGAGTTCTGTTAAAATCCAGGCGCTCAAAAGTCAGAATTGTTGGCCACAGTTTCAGCCGCAGATACTTTAGGCCTTGCTCATCCTGCATTTTAAAATCATCAAAGGCTTCACAGAATCTACTTTATCTAAAAAGCAATGGGAAGTATTTTAGGTTCACATTCTATTGTGACAGCGACCAAGCAAAACTGAAGTCCATACTTCCATTTAAGTGGGATTTGTTCTTATTAATTTGCTGTAGTTCTCACCAATAGAAGCACAGTGGCAACTCCTATGCTTACCCTCACTCAGCTTCTAGTCTCCTGCCCAGGGCAAAGAGAGTAGGAAAAGCCTGATCTGATGAATCCTCGAATTGAGGAGGCAGGATGTAGACTCCAGGAGATGGGAGCTCATTGTCTGTGTGCCTGAGAGGAGAGAGCTGGAGAGAAAATGTCCTGGAAAACTTTCCAGGGTCCCTCTCTAGTAGGGTGCTGGTCAGCCTATGCATGGGAGGAAGCCTGTGTCTGACCAAATCAGACCTATCCAATCAGAGAAGTAACAGAAGCCAGAGGGTTGAAAATGGTACCTGTTAATACCAGTCAGGTGTCAGGGTTCCAGATTCAGTCACCACGGAGAATGCACAGGAAGGCCTTGCCTCCAAAGTGAAGAATGATCAGTCCTGGTGAATCAATCTTACAAACAAGTCAGAGACAATGCAAACTGTTTTCCAAGCAACCTTACTACATCCTCAAACAAAACTTGAATGTGCAAAAGCATCCACGATCAAACAAAAGCACAGTGTGAAGTATTAAAACGTATTAAAACTGACCCATGACTGCCCCAGAAATCTGGATCTATCAAAAAGGAGCACTGCAGCTGGGCTCCGTGTGTCCAAAGTCAAGCTGAGGCACAGGAAACACAAACAGATCGGCACAGAACTTCTAGAGATGAGGGAGAGACTGCTGTAGTTTCACCAGAAACTCGGTTTTATGCAGGTACATGTCAGTGTCCTAGTTACTTAGTTGCTGTCATCAATGTTATAAACAACAGCAGCGTGAGGAGGAAGGAGCTTATTTGGCTGGCAGGTCACAGTCCATTATCCAGGGAAGTCAAGGAAGGAACTCAAAGCAGGAACATGGAGGCAGGAACTGAAACAGAGACCTCTGAGTAACAAGAAATTGCTTACTGGCTTGCTCCCAGGCTCACATTCAGCTACCTTTTTATGTTTCCCAGACTCATCTTCCCAGGGATACCACTGTCCACAGTGCGCTGGACCCTTCTCCACCAATTGGCAATCAAGAAAATGCCCCGCATTCCTGCCAAGAGGCAATTTCCTTGAGAGGGTATCTAGTTTGTGTCAAGTTGACAGCTAGCCGATTGAGCCATTGAGCGTGAACACATAACAAGGGAAACTACCCAAAGTCAAGCGCAGGAGAAAGTGTCACAAAGCAGATCATCAGGGGAGCTGGGCTATGGCTCCGGAGTAGAGTGCCTGCCTAGCATTTGTGAGGCTCTGGATCTGCTTTCCAGTGCTGGAAGCAGGCAGAGCATCTGTGGGGCCACTTCAACTAGCTGAATGTGCAGAATTACAGCTCTCAAAAGATGTGCCTGCCGAGAGGAGGAGATACAGAAATAAACGACATGAGGAAATAGCAGCTGAGAAATTCCCAAGCCGGATAAAAATTGTTCAGTTCACAGATTTGAGAGGCATCACAAACCCTAAGCCCAAGAAACAGACACTGCTCTGTGATGCGTCATCATCAAATTTCCCGAAAACAACTGACTAGAGATAAATAGTGACGAGAAAAATCACCCACACAGTCAAAGAAGAGAAAGTGCATGGCACCCTAAGGAGTGACTATGAAGGTGGTGGGGATCTGTCAGAAATGCCAAAGAGAAGGCTCCTTAAGCCCCGAAAAGGGAAACAGTTTCAAGACCAGACTCTAGCAACACTTTATTTCAGAAATGAAGGCAAAAACCTTAACCAGATTGCTATGATTTAGTCTTCATGATACTTACTGCTACTGCACAAATCATCAAAACAATATATCTTAATAATTAATTGTGAGGTTCCTGAGGAAGTTAGAGGCCTCAAAACATGTTTGTGTCTTTGGTCAAAAGGCAAGCATGCTAGGAGGGTGCAGGGGCGGGGCATGAGAGCTGAGCCCGCTGTTACATTGTGCTCTGATGTGGCATATGCTGCAGTTTCTCATCGTCTAGAACTGTGCCTGACACACAGTAGGCCCTCAATAATGTGTGTTGTTCAACAGCTGACAAGGGTAGGTAAAATTGGACTTTTCCAGATATATAAAATCTGAAAGAACTCATCACAAATGCTGAACCACACATCTGTTAGAGAAAAATCTCCCAAGCAGGGGGGAGGAGGGGGAGGAAATGCACCTGCCCATAATGTGAGTCTTCATGGGAGAATACAAAGTGTCAGAATGGTGCCCATGTGTTTGTAATTATACATTTAACTTTGGAGCACACGTGAGTTCCATCTTTCAGTGCCTATACTAATAACTACTGTGTGAGTGCTTCCTTCTTTTGGTGAAATGCTGTTAGGTGCCTATAATTTCTCAAGCCTTGTCAGTGTGAGACTACAAAGGTAAAGGACAGATCTTCACACACAGTGTGCTTACATTCTAACTGGAAGAGCAGGTAACAACCCATTCACAGTCAGACACAGTGCTGCCTCCCAGCATTGGGAGGAGGCAAAAGCAGAAGGATTAGGATTTTAAGGCCAGCCTCAGCAACACATATAGCCTGGGCTATATGAAACCAACCCTGTTGCCAAAAAGACAAAAAGATGAAGGAGGGGGAGGGAGGTCAGGAGAAGTACTAGAAAGGGGAAGAACTGTAGTGCGTTCTAGGAGAAGGAAGCATGTTGTAAAAGCCCAAGGGGGTAGGATATTCATTGGTACTGCTACTGTCAGAGAGTCTGGGCATGTGCATCAGGGCAGAGGAGAACCAAGAGGCTAACACGGCTCGTTGGTATGTGCAGCTTACAATTTATAAAGGTCCTGTGAGCTCTGTAAGGAAGAGTTGTTGAAGGGAGTGTACCAGGGAGAATATCAAGGAAGATTTGCATCTCGGGTCTGTCCAGGGAAGTATAAAAGATGGTTTAGAAGAGAATCAGTTGGTACATGAGGGCGAGTTAGATGTGGATGCTCTGAAACTTACAAGATGCTGTGAGGACTCTGAGCAAGTTGTCTCAGCTCTCAGAGCCTCTGTTCCTCATCTGTAAAATGGGGATACTAATGGCACTGATTTCAAAGAGTCAGTGGAGACATTAGAAGAAACACTGGGCAAATACAAACAAACAAAAATCATTGAC